GATAATAAGATGTAAAAGTATATCAATAAAAAATAAGTAAATTTGCATTCAAGTGGGCTTTTGATAAAAAAAGCATATGATTTATTGGAATTCATGTTTGCATCCATTAAAGCTAAAAGTCTGTTTGATAAGAAGGTAAATTTGTCGATGCAAAACTAACCCAATTTTACAATTTATATGGACCATTTTACGCTCTACATATTTGCATTCACACTTATTTGCATCATTTCCAAACGCAACAGCCTAAGAGATTAAGGAATACAATTCAGATGTATTTTACCACTGGTGAGAGCATTGTATACCAATCAGTGGTTTAGGAATACATGACGATGGTAAATGACCCCACAATCTAGATGCCTGAAAAGATCACACGATCAGCGGTTCATAGGTTCAACCATCTGATTGGAATTTTAAACAATTTATCTAAACTCATGTTTTATTTCATAATGATGGAGACTAGGGGTGGATTCGAGCCAAGCCGAGCCAAATACTTAGCTATTTGAGCCCAACTCGCAAGAATAGTATAGGGCTCGAGCTTGGTTCGGCTCAAGCTCGACTATAAGTGAAGTTCTTTTGAAAAATAAAAATTATATGTATTAATTTTTTTTTTTAATTTTTAGATAAAAAATAAGAACTATAAAAATTATTTAATATTATATATACAAAAAATAATTATAAAAAATTATTTACTATTATACATGAAAAATATTATTATTTAATACTAGACTCACGAGCTTCACGAATCGATTTCATTGGACTCGAACTCAACTCAATTAACAAATAAGCCTATATATCAAGTTCAAATTCAGTTTGAAGCTCAATTTAAATCTAACCAAGCGACCTTTTTACAAGTCAAATTCAAATAACTCGTAAAATGCTCGACTCGTGGCCATACTGGAAACTTTTGAGAGAGAGAGAGAGGGAGGACTGAGGAGGGAGGGGAGGAGTTGACCGACCGGAAAAGAATTCATGTAAAGGAGAAAAGAAACAAAAGCTCATCCGAAACGGCGGAGGACTTGTAATTTGTAAGGGCACTGGGCACACCACCAGACCCAGCTATATAGCCTATATATAAATCACGGGTCCGGCCGGCCCCACCCGCCGCAACCATGCACATGCGCCACATGACCGTTGCGGGCGGCTGGCAACCACACCGCCAGAAAGGGAGGAGTTGGTAGCGTATGGGATACAGACCAACGTTCCACAATCACAATATACCCAGTTGTGCATCCAAAATTACTTTTTCACCCTTAAATTTATGCTAAAATCTATAAAATCTCTCCAAATTTAGGGTCTACTTAGTTTGCAATCCAAATTAAAATCAAAATCCTTTACAATCGGAATTAGAATGATTTATTCACATAGTTTATTTTATTTAAATGAGAATTAAAAACAGAATAAACTTAAAATGGAATTTTATTCCTAAGAGAAGGGATTATTCTCTTAAATGAGGATGCCATTTTAGCAAGAATAAGAATGGAATTTTAAATTCATCCAATCAAACAGTTGAAATCGGAATAACCTATTTTTTCATTTTGTTTTTAATTTTATATTCCTATTCTCATGAACCAAACAGACCATTAGAGTATATGGGTATCGGCAGCTTAGACTTTGGAAGAGAAGTAGATGTAAATTCTTCCTAATTAGCATATATAGTAGTTCAATGAAGACATCACTGAAAGAGTTTGAATTACTTGATTTTGAGGTTATGTGCTCTGCCTATTCATCTCGAAGGAGAGGAGATAAAAAAGCTTAGAAGGTCGAACAAGTGGTGTACAAGTAATTGGTGGTAGTTACGTAAATGATGACATGCTTTAATGCGATTTTGGATGGGTGAGACACCAGAAGGGGAACCGAGAGGCCCCACCACCCGAGTCATGCATGTGGTGTTGGGTATTAGTTGATTAATTAATAGGGATTGAATAGGAAATTAAGTTGTTAACAAAGGAAGCCACATCCTAGTTAATATTATAAACACAGCCTTTTGTGTTATATATTTTCTTTTCAAGAGATGAGAGATACATGATGGAATAAGAAATGGGATATAAAGAGGAAAAAAAAAATTAATAGAAGCTTCTTCTGTCTCCACCTAACATGTTTGAAAAAGGAAAAGTGGGTGAAGTGTTGAAAAGCGACTCCTCCTTTTTTTTTTATTATTTTTATTTGGAGGGGTCATTGTTCTTACAGATTTTTTGTTTCATGAACAAGAGGTCAAGAGCTACCACCACTTAGGTCGGTTTCTTTGCTGGTTGTCTCCCCTAATGCCTTAATTGCTTTTTAGAGTTAGGTTCGGGGTTTCATGGATTCTAAGATTTAGGGTTCCTTTCCCCTCTTAATGATGATGGTGTTTCGTTCGGTTATGTGAAAAATGTTGTTAGCTCAGTGTTATATAGGCGTTTCCTCTTAAATATAATTTGGTTAAATTATTTATCAAATAAATGTTTATCTCAATTTATGTGAGAACTATATTGAAGAAGTTTCTTTTTAATGTTTCTTCCAACATTAAGGTATTTTTTCAAGGTTTAAAAAATTGATTCGGAATCAAAACCGCTTTGGCCACTGTTTTTGGGTCAGCGATTCGATCGCCCGGTTTAAATGGATGGCTCATTCTGACTTAAAGAAATAAAAAATAAAAAACGGAAAAAAACTGTTGTCTGGGTCGAATGGGTCGATGATTTGATTGTCCAAGTCAATGAATCATTGACCAAGTCAACAGTTTTTGGCCAAGAATAGGTTAAGGGTGAAACAAAATTGATTGCTTAGACAGTTCCAGGGCCAAATGGTCTGACTGTCCAGATCAACAATGATTCAAAAACATTGATTTTTTCATTGCTTAACTTATGTGGTGTCTAGTGGTTCTATTTGTCAAAAACCAAAAAAAAAAAAATCAACCAATTTTTTTTTGTTTTCCAAAATAAATACTATAAACCAACCAAGGGCTAGCTCGTTGATGTATTAACTGGTTTGTTCTGATGTTGACGTGGAATCAAATCCCACAACTAGTATTAGGGAAAAAGTAGGGGTGTAAATGGATCGAATTCGAATCCGATTAGAAAATCCGATATCCGACAGATATTGAAAATTAATATTTAAATTCGAATCCGATTAAATATTCAAATATTCGATTCGATTCAATTTGAATTTGATTAGTTAATTAGTTTAGATAATTAATAAATATATAAATTATTTATATAACTTAATTATTATATAAAATAGTTTATATATTATATATAATAATTAAATAATTGGTTGAAATATGATATTTATCTAATCGAATCAGGTCATATCCGAATTCGAATCTGATTAACTATTCGATATGAATAAGATATTTAAATTCGACCGATTAAATATTTGAATTATCTATATTCGATTCAATTATGTCAAATATCAAATTCCAAATCAGTTTTTCGAATAACATTTACACCCCTAGAAAAAAGGGGTCAAGGGAAAATTATTAACACAATAAAAAATAAATATTATACAAAATGTTTATTAAATAAACACCAATAGACTAAACAGCCCTGTTATCCAAATTTTATCTATCCATCAACAAATCCATTTTGTTAGATTAATGTGACATCTCTCACATGAAATTTATCATCCCCTAATGACACAGAGGCAAGTCAGGGAAATTCTGGTTCAAACAATTAGATCTCTAGCTAGCTATAGTGTGACAAATGTGATTAGGTAGATTATGCGGTGGATTAATTATCAATTCTAATGTCCTCGACCCATCTTTCATATATATAATATTGTATTGATGGTCATGGTTGTACTGTCACATGTGGGGCGATTGCATATAATGAAATATTTGGGTAGGTATTGTGCACATGGTTGATGCTTTATAAGTCTCTTTTTTATGTCAGGAAATTAAGGGAGATACATGTTATAAAAAGTTTTCTAGTCAAATGACATTGTTACAGGTAGATTCATTCTATTTTGTAGAAGGTGACCCCTTTAAGTTTTGATAAGTGATTATTAGGTCAGGTCCCACTTATATTTCCTACCCACTACACACATGCATGCAAACATGATGAGTCCTAATCAAATTTTAGTAAGGTCCCGTTTGGTTTACGAGAATAAGGGTTTAGAATCAGAATTGGAATGAATTATTTTGATTTTAAATCATTAGGTTGGGCGGAATCAGAATTCCATTTTCATTATTACTGGAATGATATTCTTCCATTTGAGGGAATGGCCATTCCCTCTCTTCTTTGAGAATGAAATACCATTACTGCTTATTCTAATTTCTATTCTCATTCATGTTTCAACCAAACAGACTATGGGAATAGATCATTCCAATTTCGGCTGCAAACCAAACGGATCTTAAGAAATAATTATTAAGGACAGATAACCAGATCAGCCATAGCTAGATTTTTACTTAATGTAAAGCAGTTATTAGGATATACTTAACAAATAAAAGATGGGATACCACTGTAAAATTCATCTCCCTCAATCTGTGTGTGTTTGTGGAGAAAGATATTTTCTGTTGACGAGATAGGTTACCTACCCGTTCCTCTCGCTCTCGTCCTCTCACGACTTATCCATCCATCGACTGAAACTCAAGACGACCAAAAATCGAAATTCTAACACAAAGTATTCATCAATCAAAGAAAAATTTTCTAGACAACCAAGGGCCCCCCCATAAAAAATCAGTGAACTCATCTCAACAGGGGCCAAGCCAAGAGGGAATTAAAATGATTCACTTTTCCTTTTCCTTTAAAGGGAAGAAGATAAGTTCATCAAAATCGTAAAATGATTCCAGCAATTAACTAGTTGTTTGTTTAGAGTTGGAGTTGAACAGCTCACACTATTACAAATTAAACTCCAGTCAAGAATATTCATGGGTAGCATCTGATGGACTGATAATTTTGCACATGAGAACAAATTAGCACTTAATCCTCTCTTTTTCTCTCTTCCTTGTTTTTATTTTGTGGGATTGTGTTAGGTTTTTTTTTCTATTAAAGTAGAAATCTATTATGAAGGGGGAAACAACAAGCTAATTAACCATTATCAAGGATAGATATTCTAGCTACCAAATCTTCCGAATGAACAACCATTCTTTTTTTTTTTTGATTTCCAACAAATAGTTCAATTCATAAATCATATCTACTTGTAATATGTGGTAGTAATTATACAAATTAGACTAAAGAGAAAGCTAGATAGAGAGATTCCCACATAATAATCTCTTTCTTTCTTTTCTCCACTCTAATTTAGTTAGATGTTACAAGTAGAGCTTTTTATTTCATTTCCAGGCTTCTATAATCCAAAAGACCAGTTTTTAAGCCTAAGAAATCACTATTAGTGCTGGAATTACTGCAGATGCAGTCCTTACTATTCTGCAAGCCCAAGCTGCAAGGGAAACAAAGAGTTCTTCCCCCTCCACTCTTCAATGGCGTCTCGGGAGTATGTTGTTGATAAGGAAGGCTAATCTGAAGCTCGAGATTCAGGTCGGGACACCGCTCCACTCTCTGCCTTTTCTCTTGGTTACACTCGAGTCTTCCAATACTGATGATCTTCGTTTCTTCTTTAGCAGCGGCGGTAAAAGATATAGTTCTGGCATCGGAAGCCGATTCGTTAAGAGGTCGATGGGTGGCCGGATCAATCCCTCGGCTCAGCAATTTCCTCCTTATATGGGTATTCCAATAATTCTTTATCTCGTTATCTGTTCTTCCCGGTAACCTTCCGGCTATAAGAGACCACCTGTAATATAAATTAAATTAATAAAATCATAAAACCAGTGAATATATACCCAGTTCTAAAGTTTCGATCGAAGAACAGTTGAAGCTAGAAACATTGAATTGGGCTTACTTGTTACCCAGAAGACTGTGTAGTTTGATGATGAGCTCGTCTTCTTCTTCTGTGAAGTTGCCGCGCTTGAGGTCCGGACGTAAGTAGTTGATCCATCGAAGCCTACAGCTCTTGCCACAACGGAGAAGGCCGGCGGCCTTGGGGAGGGATCGCCAGCACCCCTCGCCATATGCCCGGATGTGTGCAATAAGCCGATCATCTTCTTCTTTGGTCCATGCTCCTTTGTTAGTATGAGCTTTCTCACAGCAAGGAGACCTCCCCATTCAGTCTTACTACTTCTTCTACTACTGCTTCTTGTCGTTGCTGTTGCTGCTGTAAGTGGTGGTGATTTGGTGCACCCAACTCGACCCTTGTGAGAACTTGAGACGGGGGATTGATTTATAGGCTTAGGCTTTGAGAGAGAGAGAGAGAGAGAGAGAGATTAATTGCTTCTAAACTTGAGTTGGTGAGAGGTTAGGGGGGAATGCTTGGGGACTCTGTCCAGATGATATATAAACATCATAATGAAATTAGTTAAATGATACAACTATCAGTAACCTTCAGGTAGGTGTGTAAACTAATATTGTATTTAAGTAAAGCAAGACAACGTGTAATCCCTAACTTTCTATTATAAGATGATTAATTAAGCTAGTAACCCGTGATTGAGATTATAACTTTTTTTTTATATTAAAAATGTACACATGTTTATATGTATCTATATCTATATACTTAATTTATTAGTAGTCTCGATTTAAATGTTAGAAAAGAACCGACCCGAATAACCTTGCGGCCTTGAGGATTGATGATCAAATTAGGTAAATTAATTCTAATCGTTCGTGTTTATCTGGCTACCAAGTGTTTCTGTTGAGATATTTGAATAAAAGTAATACCATCGTTTGAGAAGCATGCAGTAATTTGGAATCGGCACTTCACACCAACTATCTATAACACGTTTTATATTTATTTTATATCCTTAGACTCCGTTTGTTTGCCTGTATTTCATAGGAGGTAAATTAGTTAATTGGATAGTTGATTATGATTTCTACATTTGTATGTCACTAGAATGGGTCTTACAATAAGTCAATTTTTTGGAGAGTATTAGTTGTCTGGCTCACTGGTACTCTCTTATAAGGTGAATAAGTTGTTTACCCACCTAAGAACAGTAATGAAACTAAATTTATCCAGACAAGTTAAACCTATAAGACACTTGCCTGAATAAACTTGCATACCCAAATACCCTAGTAAAGCTGTGTTTGGAAATGATGCAAATGGAGTGTAAATTCCGGTTCAGGATAAATTTGCATTCCCAATGCATATTTACATTGATAATAAGATGTAAATATGCATATTTACATCAATAAAAAAGAAGTAAATTTACACTCAAGTGGGCTTTTGATAAAAGAAAGCATATGTTTTATTGAAATTTGTGTTGGAATCCATTACAGCTAAAAGTCTATTTGGTAAGAAGGTAAATTTGTCGGTGCAAAACTAACCCAACTTTACAATTTATATCGACCATTTTACACTCTACATATTTGCATTCACACACATTTGCATCGAATGGAGCCTATAACCTTTGGAAGATGTTCTGGACAAGTTGGATTAAGCATATTCTAGTCTTTAATTGGGCTATTCCTGAATACAAAAGTATGGAAAATCGAGATCACTTTGAAGGGGCGAAGAAGAGGGGATGTAGGGTTAGTGTGTGTGGAAGAAGGGGTTGGTTCATGGGTGGGTGTATCCGTGTATGTGGGCTTTGGTTAAAATTTTCTTTTCGGAAATTATGTGGGCTTTGGTCCGATAAGCTTCCACTTTTATTTCTTTGTTTATATTAACTGTTATTTTATTTTTCTTCTATCCAAATTTGAGCCTGTGGCTCAAGTTTGGATAACATGGAAGTACCACCATCTTACTCTCTCGCCCCTTTACTCTCTTAGTGCCTAGTGGTCGTTGATCACTCTTCTTTGGGCCTCCTGAGAAAATAACCGGTCTCCCCTCTTGCTGTGGGGGCATGATTCATTTTTCGGTAAATGGGAGCGGGTAAGTTGGTGGGTCTCATGAAACCTGTATTCATATTGCAGAATCAATTGGTCCCACAGAAAATAACGATTCTCAAGCGGCTCATTTATTTGGATAAGTAAAACTCTATTAGGCTTCGATAAATCAATTTTCTGTCTATGCATAAATTTACTAATACACGATGAGCCTTTCAATAGTGATATTTTTATGGATAAAACGATTATTGTATAATTTTACCTTGGAAATAAAAAACATTTATAAATACACTTATCTAAACAAAAAATTTTTCATGAAATATTTGTCCAAAAAATAACTTACCGTCAGGGCCCGACCCGTTCATTTTTTGGATTTTGAGAGAGAGGAACGTTTTTTAGAAAGCCTCTTCAGGCAAATTCATTCATCAACAAACTCAATTTACAAGAGGGAGGAAAGTTGGTCAATGGGATTTTAGTTCTTATTGATCAAGTATGTGTTTGGTTCCGTTTAAGTTTATTGAGTAAACACTGCCACATAGGCGCCCCGTTAGAAAAAGGCCTCATTAATTGCATCCATACGTAATTGATGTTTGCAATTTGTGCGCCTCTCATATTTCAGGCGCACAAATTGGCACTTTGCTAATGTGGTGCCTAATGGCACCTATGTGTCATAAACGCCCTCATTAATTAATTTTCTCGGTTTTGCAGCTATACAAGTACAAAATATTTACTCAACAAACGTAAATTGAACCAAATACCCTCCATGATATCCATATTTTTTTTTTTTCAGATTTATGTAAGGTCTATAGAAAATTTATTTTCTCAAGTAAGTGATACCCATATCCCAGATGGATAAATAATTTTATCATTTCCATGAAAGAATTTATTTTCTCAAGTAAGCGATACCCATATCCGAGATGGATAAATAATTTTCTCATTTGCCAAGAAAGTTGCCAACATGGGACAAATTTACCCCTTTTAATAATGGCTTTTTGTCTTATTTACTATGAATAAATGCACTTACCCAAATAATTATTTCCCAAATAACACTTACCCTTTATGTGAGTAACTTCCCAAAAACCAATGGGCTTTAATGAATGAGTCCCAAGCAAGGTTCAAAATATCGATACGTCTGATACGCCAGTAGGGGCATATTGGGCGAATTGATACATTTTTTTACTTTTTTTTTATTTCTTTTTCAAAAACGGTTTAGGGGGGCCAATTTAGAGCTCCTCCACCCCTTAAACTGGTCAGATCCCCGATACACCCACTGTAGGGGCGTATCGGAGGGGTCTTGGAACGACGCGTATCAGCCGATATGTGTCGATACTTTGAACTTTGGTCCCAAGTCCCATTCATCAATACATCATCAACTTGGTTTCATCTATTCTTCTCCTTTTTTCTCTTAGAAAAGAACGAAGGCAGTAGATAATTAATAAAAGTTGTTGGATAAACATGTGACGAACGTCGACAATAAAATTAGACATGTGGCCATTTTGGAGAGTTCTAGCATGTAAGGGTGACCGAACCGTGGGGCTTTTTTTGGAATTGAATCAATATTATCCATTTTTGGAAAACTGGTAATCGAAACCGAATTGAAGCCAGTTGGTTAACCGGTTGATCGATTCAGTTAACTATCAATTCGATTCGTCGATTTTTTAATTTTTACAATATATATTATAAAAATATATAAAATATTATATTTTAAATAATAAATAATATATTATATATTATAAATATATATTTATATATATACATATTTATTAATTTATAATATATAAAAAATAAAAAATATATAATATACATAAATATATATAAAATATATAGAAACATATATATTGGTCGATTCGGTTAATTGTCAATTTTCTATATTAATTAACCAAAACTGAACCGATCAATTCAATTCAGTTAACCGATTTTTCGATTTTTTTCTCACCCCTACTGCATGAATCTGCGCCATATCAGTCTCGGTGTTACAAAAAAAAATAAAAAATAAAAAATCATATTTCTTTTTCCAGGCTTCGAAGCAGATTGCAAAACCAAAGGCCCAATAGAATATCTTTACCCGTACAAAAATTTTCTACAAGGAGTGTAGTCTTCTCCCCATTCCTCAATCCTCACAGCAAGTATTACCTAACTTTTCGACCGTTTCTCCGTGTCCTGTCCAAATTCTGGTCCTGCTTTCCCCTTGAGTGATGCACTGATGCGCAATTGAAGGATTTGAATCAGATCATCTTGTCCTTTTTCTCCATTTTTCTTCACAAATTCCAGCTGGGGTTGTCCATTTTTCTTTTCTTTCCTTTTCTTAGAAGAAAGAGAAAAATCATTTTTCCTCTCTAAAATTTCCTTTATACCTATTTGCTAATACGTGGGAGATTGAATTGAATGTTCTGTTTCTCTCCCTGTCTCCATAACACATAAAATCTGGCAGTTCTGTTCAGATCAGGTAGGCACAATTTTGTAAGCACGGTAAATGAGCATTTAGAAATTTTTTTGACACTTGTTCCTTAAAATACCTTCGCTCTATCCTTGAAAAGGATTAATACCCACTTTTGAAAATTGTGAAAATATTTATTAAGTATTCATTTAACATGTTTACTTTGTTGTGCCTACTAGATCCAGTCTCAAAAGCTGAATCATATGGGTCAGCACCTTACTTAAACTTTTAGGTGAGGTCTCTGAATATGTTTTTATCCTTTAACATGCCTCCTCATGCAATTTTTTTTTTTTTTTGTAATAAGAGTAATTCTTCATGAGAAATTTCATGGGGATTGAAGTGGTATGTATTAACATGATACCCAGAAATTAATGTGTGTAATTCGGAATCAAAAGCAAATTGGGTCAAATGAACATAATCCAATGAAAGATTATTGGTCAATTAGTAGTCATTTGTGTTTAATAAAATTTTCATTTGATAAATTTAAAATAATAAAAACTAAAAACTGAGTGTGGCAGAAATGTATATGGTGAGATGGATGAATGAGAAAACTAAAAATAATATAAAATAAAAAATAAGTCATTTAAAGAAATGTATTAATAACTTTAATAGGTGATAAGTTGAGAGAAAATACACTTGAAGGGTTTATCTCACATGCACAAAAATTTTTGTACATCCTTAATAGAAATTGATCTGATTGGAGAAAGAGCAAAGCATGACATGGGTCATCAAAATAGCAAGTAATGATCTAAGCTCTCACAGTTTAACAATGGATATGACATTAAATAGAACAAAATGGTGAAACAGGATTTATATAACGAAATCTCATGTAATTAAAAACAAGGTGCATCTAACTAGGAATTGTTAAGGCTCAGTTTGAAAGGAGTACAAATACAAATATATAGAGTGCAAATCTATAGATTTTGCATAGGAGTGGCAATGGGGCGGGGAGGGGACGGGGAGCCTCTCCCCATCCCCGTCTCCATGAAAATTTCCATCCCCATCCCCGTTCCTGTCCCTGCTAACGGAAACTAAAGTTATTCCTGTCCCTGTCCCTGTCCCCACAGGGATCCCCATTCCCCATAATTTTTATAATGTTAATCATTTTGTTTTTGTTTTTTATTTTATTTAAAAAATAAAAATAAAATAATTAAAATTTATAATCCTATTAGAAAAGATTCAAACATATTTTT